GTACCGGGGATTGAACTCAGGACCCTGCACTTGAGAAGCAGGCAGCAGAACCACTGAGCTAAATCCTCAGCCCTTATTACTGATTTTTATTGTTGTTGTTATGCCTCAGTGTATGGTCTCCTTGGAGAAGGAGTATGAGTATACACCTGAAAAGAACACGAATAGAGCCATAGAATAGGAGTGCGCGGACACACCTATAATCCCAGCACTCAGGAAACTGAGCCAGGAGAACTACTGTGAGTTTGAGGCCAGCCTGGGCCACCTAGCGAGACCCTATCTAAAAAAAAATATATGAATATGAATAATAAAACACATGAAGAATGATGGTGGCATTCTGGTACAGTCGCTTTAGGAAACCTCCTTGGCGTTCTTGCGTTAAACTTGTACCAGCTCTACAACCTTTTTCACTCCTCAATGAATATCCAAAAGCTGTGCCCACACACAGAGTTTTACATCAACATCCACTGCAGCTTCATGGGCGACAGCCCCAAACGGCCCCAAATTGTACGTGAATAGCTGAACAAAACCGGCACATCCATTCAATAGAATGCTACGTATTCCCCAACAAGGGAAACAGCTACTCATGCACAAAAATTAAGCGAAAGAGGGGCCAGGGATTTAGCTCAGTGGTGCTGCCGTTTGCCTCGCAAGCGCAAGGACCTGAGTTCGATCCCCAGTACCAAAAGAAAAAAGTGAAAGAAAAAGCACAAAAGAGTATATACTGCATGCATGAATTTATCTGACATTCCCCAAGGACAAACTCATCACTAGTGACAGAAAGTTACTCAGTCCTTACCTGGAGCAGGGAAATAGAGAAAAAGCCCACAATGTAGGCCTGAGAAATTTTGAAAAGAAAGGGACAGAAAAGTTTCTACGTCTTGATTGTTGAGGTAATTTCCTGAGTGGGTGTATCTGTTAAAATTTATCAGAGTATGCCCTTCGTATGAGTGTGGTTTGTCAGACGTAAATTATACTTCTAAATGTTATAATTAAAATTTTAATAAAGCTCTAACAGAACACGTACTCCTCAGAGTACAGGAGAAAATAAAGTGGCTATTGAAAAAATAAAATAATGTGTATTCTGTAGTTGTTGGGCACAGTGTTCTACAAATGCCAAATAGGTTTAGGTCATTGATGATGTTTTCAAGTCCTCTGAATTTTTTTTAGTTGTGTATCAATTTCTGAGAAATCTCTATGATTGTGGATTTGTCCATTTCTCATTTGAGCTTTGCAATTCTGTTATTAGGCGCACCCATATTTATGATTGTTTTGTTTTCCTGATGGATTGAGCCTTTTGGTATGAAATGTCCTTCCCTATCCTTGGTTAAACTATTTCTCTTCGTCACCTGCCTTGCAAGTGCAAGGTCCTGAGTTTGATAGCCAGCACCAAAAAAAACAAAAACAAAACTGCTTCTCTTGAAGTCCACATTGCTTGATGTTAATAGAACCACATCTGCTGTCTCGTGCTTTATTCCAAGCACTTAAATCAAGTATGAGCCAGGCATGGGTGTATGAGCTGTTATTTAGATGTGTGTTGTTTAATCTCCTGGTAGCATTTCCAAGATACATTTTTGTTACTGATTCTTACTGTTGTTATTATGCAGGCCTGTAATCCCAGCACTTCAGAGGCTGAGGCAGGAGGATTGCTACAAGTTTGAGGCCAACCTGGGCTACATAGTGAGTTCAAAACTAGCCTGAACTACACAGTGAGATCCTGTCTCAAAAAACCAAGAAGGAAGGAAAGAAAGGAAGGAAGGAAGGAAGGAAGGAAGGAAGGAAGGAAGGAAGGAAAGGAAGGAAGGAAGGAAGGAAGGAAGGAAGGAAGGAAGGAAGGAAGGAAGGAAGAAAGGAGTAAGTTTCTGCTTACTATTTGTTTACTTGGAGATTTTTGTTTTGTTTTGTCTTTTGAGACAGGTACTCACTATGTAGCCCAGACTGGTCTTTAACTCACAGCGATCCTCCTGCCTTAGCCTCCTAAGTGCTGGGATTACAGGTGTGCACCACCATGTCCAGTTTACTTGGAGAATTTAATTCATTTATTTATGTACTTGTTGGTAATGACTAGGCATAGGTCTACCATTTCACTGTTTGTTTGAGTACACTGTACCACTGAGTTACATCCTCAGCCTCTTTTTTATTTTTTTGAGACAGAACCTTGCTAGATTGCCCAAGCTGGCCTCAAACTTATGATCCTTCTACCTTAGTAGCCTGAAGTGGCCAGGATTATAGGCATGCATCCCTGCACCTGGTTTCCTCTACTGTTCTTTTTTTTTTTTTTTTTTTTTTTTTTTTTTTTAACGCGGCTAGGATTGAACCTAGGGCCTTGCACACACTGGGCATGCATGGTACCACTGAACTACACCTCCAGACCTCTATTGGCTTTTAAAATATAACTTTCATCTAGTGGTCACTCTAGAAGTTTACAATATACATCCTTAGTTTATAACCTGCCTAAAGTTAATATTATGACGATTCACATTAAACATAAGAAAGTCATACCTGTATAACTCCATCTGTAAACATGATACTGTTATCATATAGTTTTCATGAATATAAGCCCAATGGTACATTATCATAAATATTGCTTTAAGTGATTGTGTCTTATTTTGTTTTGGGGACAGTGTCTTGTTACGTAGTTCAGGCTGGCCTCGAACTCACAGTGGTCCTCCTGCCTCAGCCTTCCGAGTGCTGGGATTGCAGGTATGCAGCACCATGCCTGGCAGTAATCATTGTCTTTTGTAGAAAGTGGAAGAAAAAAGCATTTTTTTGTTGACCTGTATTTTTATCACTTCTTGTGTCACTTTTTCTTCCTCTTAAGTCTTCATTTGGCGCAATTTCCCCTTCATCATGAAAATATCTTATGAGATTCTCTTAGTGCAGGTCTTGTAGCAGTTCTTTTGTTGGGGAACTGTC